TACAAAATTAAACCTGAATTTACACTCAACCTATTCGAACTCACCAAACACAACTTGAACACCTCTTGGCGTTGAGACTTGAGAGTGGCAAATAGTCAAATACAAACGTTCAAAGTACTGATCACACGCTCAATACTATCCAGAGCTACTGTCTGAAGTCTGAACCAGTGGCTGACCCAGTACAACCCTGTAGGGGCGTATTGGGAAACCACAGGCACGATACTTATCGGCCCATACTTTGAACCTTGACACCATGTACTCCAATCCCCTGGTATTATCAGGTGAGTTGATGACATACATGATGTGGCAAGCTAGAATTGTGATGCAAAATTGCAAATACACTACGATAAGATAAATATTATAAATAGAGTCTTGGTTATCCATGGCGAGAGAGGTCTTCCATGAAAGATAAACGTAAGTAACCCTGAAGGATGATCCGAGACGAAACCAAAATTACCCCTTACCTTTCCACTTCCACGTATAAGCAAAAAATTACAATAGCAAACGTTACAATTACTCGGCAACACGTTGGAAATGCACTTCACTAAGCTTATTTTAAAGGGGCCGGTGGGATATAGAAGATGCAGGAATCTTTCGGTTGACAAAGGCCGGGGTATAACGGGTGCTTCGAGATCTAGAGTCTTAGATCCACTAGTAGAAAATCCTATAGATTGTAGGATCCTTAGGCTTAGATTGTTTTTGGTGTAAATGATAATTGATGTAAAACTCTAATATCGATTCGTGTTTACATGTGTTTGTACCGATATAAAACTTCACACCTAGTCCGTATTTTTAGGCATTTGCTTCCAGTGTAAAATTTACATCGAAAATTGAAACCTTCTAATTGACTGATTTTTTCATCAACAATCGTTGTAAATAGCATCGACTTTATCGATATACATTTATATCAATTATCACATAAAAAAAAAAACTCAACAGTCCATAAAACCCATCAATTGACTTTTCCATTGATTGAGTTACACATCGATGGTTTTTCCACCGAAAACAAAATGCAGCTTATACTCAAAAGTCTCAAACATTTATTGAGCACCAAGTAACTTGTGTTGAGAGTTAGGCCGGATTATTCTGAGACATTTGGACCCAAACCTTGCAAAGCTAGAGCTGTTCCCAGTGCCTATTGTCAATTTGCCAATCAAGACCATCCCAATTAGGGTATGATCAAATTGAATAGTTCAGCCTCAAATTCGATTAGGCTTGATTCGAATTTGATGTTAATTGAATTTGAATCTCAAGATAAATTCATTTTTCTTTTTCGAATTTAAGTTTGATTATTTTTGCTAATCTGGTTCAATATAATTAAACAGGATAATACAATTCGAATTGAACTCAAACAAAAACCCAAATTAGGTGTATTTTAATCAAACCGAATCAAAGACATTCTGAAATTTGGCTCGGCCCATTTAGATTGCACCCTTAATCCCACTAGTGGTGTCCAACCTAAATGATTGAAATAGCTGTAATCAAAGTATCAAACTATATAATGAGACAATTATACACTATAACAGTAGTGATCTAACAAAAATGTATTGAATAAGCACAAAAATAAACACAATGTCTAAGTTTTAATCCTCGGCAGTAGAAAAACTTTTGATACTTTTCCATGTAACATGTTCTAAAGGCTTGACGAGCTTGGTTTTTAATTAATCTGAGACTGATCAGAACTTTTCCTTGAACTGATCTTTGTAGATCTAATAACATATTCCAAAGAATGATAGGCTTGTTAAGGCGAATCTCATGGAAATTGCACCTTGTAGATTTTCGTAAACACACCGAAGATTTCTTAAATTATTAGTCTATCAATGAATGAACTCCAGAGATCCTTGTAGATAAAGATATCTGGTGTATTGAAAAGAAAAAAACATGGCTTTCAAAATCGGACTGGACTGGATGGTCGGACCAGAAAAATTGAGAACCGGTCACTTGATTGGTTTTGTTTTTCCCAAAAACTGGATTTTTCCTTAAAACTGTTGATTTTTGTCAATGAACCGTTAAATTGGGTGGTTAATCGTTCGAACGGTTTTGACTATTTTTTATTTTTTATTTTTTATCAGAACGGGCCGAACATTCAATTCAAACGGTTGAACCATTTGACCCAGTAACCGGGCCCCTGACTGATTCGGTCACTGGGTCGATTTTAAAAACCATGAAAAAAAAAACTTCTGTTGAAAATGAGACCGCCTTTACAAAAACATGATAAAACAGTATTTCAGTATTTGCCTGCTTGTTTTCAACCTTCTTGCCGAAAAGCTTAGTGAAAGCTTATCTGAAAACTAAGTTTCAACAACCCACTGTAGACCCCATCCAATTGAGAGAAGATATTCACCCTCGCCTTAAAATTGAGGCCAAATTAATAAGTCAGAATGTGATTCACTTAAGCTTATCTTTCTTTTTCATCTGGGAAAATCTATGATACCTGAAAAGATTGATCAATTAAAGCATCTCTATAAATTTTGATGAACACCACTTAATTGGTTTACCTCTTTTGTGATACAGATTGATTGATTGTAAGCTTTTTAGTATTATAGTCGAACTCTTTTATCTAAACTTTTTTTGCCCTAGAATTCTTTAAGTGAAATGCAAGCTTAGGAATTACTTTGATAGTTCCAAGTATCCAACTCGAGTCCACTACAGTTGGATTTTACTTTGGTAGAATTTGACATTGCTAAGCCTATTTGTTTCCGCTCGTGAGCATGGTCTTGTGACTGCGGCAGATTCAAGTATTAACAATCTAATAGCATTTTCTGATAGTATTAAGTAAGTTTTATAAACACAGGTTGCAGATCTACTGAATGAACTGAACTTTTTTACGAAGGCCATCTTCGTTCACTGTTATCCGACCTTCGTTCACTGTTATCCAACTTCATATCAGTTAGTATTGTACATATTTATAGACAATCCAACACACTAAACCTTTTTTATTTATATAGCTTGTAAAGGCCAGTTAGTTATAAATTAGGGAGAATAACGGTTCAGCTCAGGGTCAGAGTTTGTAGGCTCAAAGTACATTTGGGGCTGGTGCGGCACGAAATTGATACGGACAGGTATGGGTGCATAGAGTGTGGTTTTTTGACCTTCTGAATATTTATAGTTTTGCGGTGGAAATCAGATATTTGTATTGGGCATGTCCTTACTTCTCCTTATAAATTATAATCAGGCATCATCGAACCATGCATGGTTTTCAAACCTTGTAAAGGCTAGTTAGTTATAAATTATAATCAGGCTTCATCATACCATGCATGCTTTCGAACCATCGTTGATCCGGACGGTCAGACCATTCGGCCAAGGAACTGTCCAAGCAATCGGTTCCGTTTTACCCAAGGTTTTTGAATCGTCGTTGACCCAAACGGTCGAACTGTTTGGCTCAGGAACCGTCCAGGCAACCGGTTCCGTTTTACCCCAAACCCGGTTTTGGTAAAAAATCATTGAAAAAGTCAACAACCCATTGACCCATTCAGCGGTTTTTGACAATTTTTTTATTTTTAATTATTTTTTTTAATTTTTCAATTTGTTTGTTAGAATGGGCCATCCGTTCAAACCGAATTGTTGGATCGTTGACCCATAAACCGGTGGTTAGAATGGTTCCATTTCCGAATCGTTTTTTAAAACATTGGTTTTACCCCAAACCTGGTCACTGGCCAAAAACTATTGAATCGTTCAACAACCCATTTACTTAGGCGGTCAAACCGTCGATCCGTTCAATGGTTTTTGGCCATTTTTTATTTTTATTATTTTTATTTTAATTGTTAGAAAAAGCCGTCCATTCAAACTGGACGGTCAAACCGTTAACCTAAAAACCGGTGACCAGAACAATTCTATTTCCAAGTCATTTTTTAAAAGCATGATACCATGTAACTTTCAGCTATCATTTTTTAAAAGCATGATACCATGTAACTTTCAGCTTTACAAACAAACATCAAACTCTGTAAAAGAGTTAATATATATATATATATAATGCATATACATTTATATATAATATATAATATCTAAAAAATATATCAGCCGTTTTAGTTAAACAGATTTTTTTATTAAGTTTCATGGTTCAGCTCAGATTTTCGATTTTTTTTTTCATGAAAACCCATAAAGAGAAGGGATTATTTGTAAGATTTAATTTTTTTGAGGAAAACCAATGCCACATGTTGTCAGTTGTCACTGTGTCACGTGTCAATAAACACCTCCAGGCAACGATATCCTCTTGATCTTTAACCTCTATGCTGCAATTCGTTCGCAGCTTTGCGAGGAGCATTATAAATTTGCTTCTACAACTCGGCAAAATTATATTGTTTCTGCTGACGTAACAGTTGTATTATCTGGCCCAGTGTTACATTTTTGCAGTTTAGAGCATGATTTTAAAAAACGACCCAGAAAAAGAACCGTTCTGGTCATCGATTTTTGGATTGACGGTTCGACCGTCAGGTTCGAATAGATGGTCCATTCTGATGAAAAAATAAAAAACGATAAAAAATCGTTGAATAGATTGACAGCTCAGGTCAATGATTTTTGGCCAAAAACCAGGTTTTGGGTAAAACGGAACCAGTTGCTTGAATGGTTCCCGGGCCAAACAGTCTGACCATCTGAGTCAATGACGTTTTGAAAACCATGGTTTAGAATTCCATTTGTTGTGAACTGTGGTCCACCCACCGCCATGCCATCCTATAAAGAGACCTCAATTAACAATAAAATTGTCTACCACTAGAATAAGACCAATGTTCATACGAGTTCAGATCCGCGCCCCACAACGTCCAACAGCACATCCCCGCCATGTATTAGAAACATCTTCCGATGATAGTACTAAAACCGATGATGTCATCATCGAAAGATGTTCCCAATACACAGTGGAGATGTGCTGTGGGACGTTGTGGGGCGCAGAATATGAATTCTGTTCATACTATCAGACAGATCCATGAGTATTACTGCTCTATTCAATCAACCCGATTCAGGACTAGTAAATAATGTAGGGTAAGAACAGGTTCCATCAGACATCACGGAACAAAATCAATCCAAGCTAATTATGTATGACAATCTGTCCACATCTAACAGCATAAATTCACCTGACAGGTTCAAACTGCATAATAGCTTATTTACATATCAATAACCTCTCCAGCTAGCAAACATACACGTCAAAAATATATACTGGTGCTTCTTCCAATGTGAACACTGATACAACAGTACATTCAGTAACAACGGTGGAGTTAAGATTCTTCAGCTCATAAACAGAACTAATTTTGAAGAGGGAGTGGACATAACTGACTTGAGACACCCAAAGGAAGCATATGATATTGGCTTTATATGAATCATGAGAGCATGGGAAGACCATCTGGATCATACAACCCCCCAATAAAGGCACTAAAAATAAACAACATGAGGATTGCTACTATGGCAGTCCTTAGAACCTGGTCCCAGTTACCGTTCATGTCAAAGTCGACCGGGTATGCATCCACTGCTGAGGATAGGTCCTCATGGTTTGAAGAATCCACAACTAACCGTCTCTTGTCAGTCTCCCGACCTGTCTGACGCCAAATATCGCGGCTTCCAAGATTCACACACTTGAAGCATGTACAACTGCCACCAAGAAATGCGGGGAGAGTCTGGAGGAACTCGCTGAGAACCTTTTGGTACGTATCCCCTTCAATCCTCAACTTTTTCCGAGTGACAGGTTTCAGAACCTGGTAAGAGTCAACATTCACAACGCACAAACACAAATCCTAGTCAAGCTTCTAAAGCTGCATGCTTCATAGAAGTCAAATTTCATGTTGAAGAGTATGGATTTTATGACGTTCCTGAAAGATATTTAGTTACTTAACTAAATATTCAGTTAATTTAGATTGGTTTCAACTCAAATCTGATCCTTTGACACCTATGTTCTTATCTTCTATCAATGGACCAGATATTGGCTCAATCCAAATATAAATTCATTATAGACGGACCAGGTCCAATCTAATATGTCATATTGGACATCCTGTCTATCCAAATTCAATATATTTTATTAGTCTGTCCAATCCGTCCAAATGGATTTTGACTTGGACAGAGTCCAACCCAAAACCGGTCCATTGACACCCTAGGTGGAACCTTGCAGTTTGCACAGACAGATTTTCCAGCAGATACCCATTGAGCTCCAGGCATAATAGCAATTTTATGTACGACATAAATATCACAGGGGGACTAGGGAGTTTCCTGTACAGTTCAGTTTCAAAAATTAAAAAAAAGGATGAAAAAACTTCAGTTGAATAAATTCAGTACAAGAAAGATAAATATGTTTAATAAATTTTCTTTTAAGAAATGCATAATGAAAATTTTGGCATATTTTATATGTAAATACATGCACAGTATATCAAAAGTAGGAAGATAATATATTAAGGATCTATATTTTTGAAAATCCATATCATTTTCATATTATATTCTTTCTTACAAAAAAAGAAATATCTTTAGGTATATTTTGGAAAGTACACGATTCAATATAGTTTTGTTTAGAAACACAACAAGTGCTTATTAACTATATGTGCTGGGCCCAAAGTCACCCATTTTACCACCCTGCCATCTGATCACTATGCAAGAAACTAAGAATCATTGCATACCAATTTCTAAATATGGATCATCTATTGAAGTTCCTCATAATTAGCATGATCTGAGCATTTCCACCTTCTCATTGCAGAAAATATTATATGCGAGTTTCACCCTTACACCAATCCACAAACCTCAAATACCAAAGCTCTTCCCAAAGATCTATTCTTTCTCTATAAGATTCCGGTTCCAGGCCATGAACATTAGTCAACACCTACTTGGAACCATTTTCCCTATATTCATTCTTGAAGAGATAAAAAGAACAAAACGATCTGATACTCCAAACAGAAACTAATTCATGTCATTTTTGGACTTTCCCTTTTCCATTAAAACCTAGCACCAGGCTTGGATTAATTCCACAGGCAATGCCCATGGAGTCAAGTTTATTATAAAAAAAGCCTGTGGAGACAAAGGATTGTCTTAAAAACATCATATTTTGGTTGAGACAGAACCTTAACCTTTTCTGTTGACACTTGACATTCCCCTTCTTTTGACAAGTGTGATAATTGATTGACATGGCCATTGCTCAGCTTCTTTGTGATTTGTAAATGCTCTCTCTCTCTCTCCCACCAATGTGGGGTCTAGGGAGTGACAGATGTACGCAGCCTTACCCATCCCTGTACATACAGTGAAGCTGTTTCCAAGATTTGAACCCTGGTCACCCAGGTCACGATGGAGCAACCCAACCATTGTGCCAAGGCCCACCCTCAAAAGGATCACGAACATTTCAAAGTTAAAAAGGAAAAAAAAAACAAAAATAAACATCTTGCATTCCTTAATTCCTCTTTCTCTTTAAATGCTAGTCTTCGGCCAAAGCAGACACATTAAAGCCAATATACTTTCTATGATGGTGTAAAGAAGCAATTCAAAAGTGATATTTTGATCGGAATTCAGAATGCATCTTGTCACAGAAATTCTCATAGTCAAAAGAAAGAACTACAAGAATCAATACCTAAAGTGGTTTCGGACAAACTTTAATAGTTAAACAATCATAGGATTATCCATATTTTCAGTTTTGGTTTTCATTTCAGAAAAGGATATGGATAAGTTCATTAAATGGCGAATTTGGCCAAGGAACATCTCCTAGCATGCAACATTTGGTTCCATCCCAACTCCCATGCATATTTTGCACATGTAACTTGATACGAATGAACTGTAGTCTACAATATGAGAGAATTTTGCCTAGAATGAAAAGTATTTTTACATGTTAATCATCATCAAGATTCAAGACATTATCAAGATATCAGCAACAAGGAAAACCAAGCATATGTGAAAACAAACTATTATAGACCAGTCAAATCCTAATCAGATCAAGGATCTTACTTGAATAAAAGTTTGTGCAATGACTCGAACAACTGGAGGAAGCCGTATAACAAAGAAACAGGCAAGACGGTTTGGATAATGATTTTGCATGAGTGCTAAACAAGATCTCATCATTTGCATGGGAAACCTGAGAGGGGAGAGCCCTTCACAATCCATTAAGACTGTAATCTGAGGATCTTCTATGTTTACCAGATGTAGTACCCCATGTTCTACTTGAGATACTGCAAAACAAGAAAATGGTTCAGCAATGTCAATAGATGCTTCAAAGAAATGTGTCTGTGTGTGGGTGTGTGCATTCATGCACATGACCATATACTACTGACATATTGCAGTAAGGAACAAAAAGGTCCAAATATATGCATTACATGCATATCACAAGATTGCTAACTCTTCTCTAGCTAAGCAAGGGGTAACTAGGGATCAGATGTACTGGGCCCATTTGTAAACCTGTTGTATTTCTTTTTAAAGAATGAGGCTGCACCTCGTGCCTCCCACTGGGATGCTTGTAACAGATGTTGTCCTTTGATTCTAATGAAAATTGATGAAATTTATTTATCAAAAATAAAAATAAAAAGATTGCTAACTCTTCGTTGGGTAAATTACAGGGAGATGCTGAACTTTTTCAGGTGTGAAACTTAGCCCCTTTTTTAATTTTTTCCGACACTTAGCTCCCTGTACTTTCATATCATGACAAAGAACCCCATTACCATTCTTTCAAATGAGTTGACAGCAAATACTCACGTGCACATCATGTGCATTGTTAGACATCTCTAAAATCCTAAAATACCCATGCCCTACTTTAAAAGACAATTTTGTTCTTTATTTAATATTACTTAAAGAGATATTTTGTCACAAATTTTTAACTAGAGATCTAGACCATTGAATTCACACCTACAGATCAATCAACTAATATTGAAAATCCAAGTGATGTGCGTGGTTTAGTAAATTGTGTACCAAATTACCCAAAAATCTCGGACATCAAAATGGTCATTCAGGATCAGTGCATTAATCTCAACTATCCAAATGATATACCAAGATTCAACTAATCTAGACCATCCAAAAAATGTACCAGATCAACACAAAATCTAGATTTACCAAATAGTCTCCTATAGGCAAATAGTTAATCTTGGACATCCAAGCAATGCTAACAAGATATCAACCAATAGTTAATCTTGGTCATGCTGGAAGTGTTTATGCTTCTGAGGCCAATGCTTTCACACATGCCTCCTACATAAAGAAAGAAAGGAAAGGGAAGTCTGGGCTGGCCTTCGCTTCGACAGGACCCTCCTTTTAGTATTATGCACCTTCATTCTTTTTAATACAAGACATCTTTCACCAAAAAGAAACAAGAAAACCAAGAACTTCTTCTCCTTCTTCCTTCTTCTTCCTCCTCTTGAGGAGGCGCACGTCTCTTGCATTCTAAATTACACCCCATGCCTCCAGGTAAAGAAACACATCACGTAACATCTCTACATTTTAAAACATTTATTTCAAATGATCTTGGCTATCATGACAGCATCCTAATATCAGACAATTAATTCCAATCCAAATGATGTGCCAAGGTTTCATCTAATCCAACTCATCCCAGTAATGTAACCAATCAACCCAAAGATCTAGGCCATCAAAGCAGTCTCCTAAAATCTGTGAACTAATTTCAACCATCCAAGAAATGTACCAAAATTTCAACTAATCTGGATTGTTAAAACAATTAAGTCAACCCAAAAATCTAGGCTATAAAAGTGGTCTCACAAGATCAAAGAATTAATGTTGGGCATCCAACCTTCCAAACAATCTAGTCAAATAAAGTGACGTACAAAATAAGTCAAAGATCTGGACCATCAAAACAGCCTCCTAGGATCAGTGAATTAATCTCAGTTATCCAAATTATGAAATGAGGTTTCAACTAATTTGGCCTATCCAAATGAGGCAGAAAATCAATAGATCTAAAGCATTTAAATGGTCTCCTAAGCTCAATGGATTAATCTCAACCATCCAAGTGATGCCAAGATTTCAACTAACATAGGTTGTCTAAATAATGTATCAAATCAAAGCAAAAGTGCCATCAAAGTGGTCCCATACAGCAATGGATTGATCTTGCTTCCAGAATTTGAAGGAATTTCAATGGAAGGTTTTGAAAGTAATTTTTGGGCATCTTTAAAATTATCTTTGTTAGATGAATTTTCTTGTATTTTCTGTTTTTTGCATCGGTTACTGTTGTTTGGTGATCTCTGATGACCTTTTTAGATGTACTCTTACATTTTGATTAATAAAAGTTTCTTTTTTATTTATCACAAAAAAGTGCCGTACCAATTAAACCAATGATCTGATTTGACAAAGTGGCACTCATAAATGAATCAATGGATCTATCCATCTGAATGATGTGCCAAAGTTCTCATATGGAAGAACATATGATCTCTGCCATTAGACATCACCTAGTCTCAATTTTTGCTTTAAAAGCATAAAAATGATATTGAACAATTAGGTAAATTTTCACTCACTGTCAACACCATCAGGGGGTTTGACATTATATGAAAGTGTAAGGGTATAAGCCTTACTAATAAGCAACAAATCAGAGAATGAGTAGGGATGGCAGTGGGGTGGGTTCGGGGATGGTTTTGTAAATCTAGACCCTCACCGCCCCCCCAAACCTCCCAGCTTGTACCCTCCCCAAAACTCACAATGGGTTGGGTTTTCAGAATCCAAATCTTCCCCCACATTTGAGGGTGATGGGTCGGGTTGGCAGGTTGAGTTCAAAACCTGCATCTAATTTCCTGTTACTTATTGTTGTATATAAGCAATAAACACACAAAATAACATGAAGACATAAAAAATTCCAATTGTTTAATTGAAATATGTAGGAAGCACATAAACTATCAATTTTCCTTCACATAAGCTTCAAAACATTATTGAATTCAACACATAAAGTACAGGTTGGGGGAAGGTCGGATTTAGCCTAATACTGTGCCTAACCCTACCTGTACCCATATGGGTTGTAAAATCTCAAAATCCACCCCCACCCTAAAATCCACTTTTCAAACATAAAAAAGGCAAGTACCGCCAGGTTTGCCATCCCTAAGAATGAGATACAGTCATCTCTACTTTACCAAAAAGGGGCATGTCAGAAAAACATTTATTATAAAAGAAAAAATTGATAAAGTTGAAAACAATAGTAGCAGACCTATTTGAAAAGAACACCAAAAAAGTGAAAGGAAAAATGAACTCTGAATCTGGATTGTTGCATACATGTGCTATGTACAGATGGACCAAATATAATTAGATATTCAAGAATAGTAATTGAGTCAAATCAATCATTAAATTGTAAAGCTTTTTTTCCTTTCCTTTGCACATTTTTGGGGATATGATGAGGCTAAATCATCTGGTAAATAATATTCAGTTACTATATAGAACCTAGTGGACTTTCCCAATCATGTCCAAAACTCCAACCTGTAGACTCAATTCATCAATTGAGGGACGAGTTCCCAAACCCAAGTAGTGAGCATAGTTCAGTATCTTAATCTCATACCTATAACCTATTGTACCATACCTTTTTCTTCACAGCTAGAAACTAGTTTTTATCAATTGGATTTTAGTATTAGTACAATTGGGAGTCCAACTCTAGTTTAGAGAGGTCATTATTATAAAATTAACAAGAGAGGAAAATGAACAAATGAAAGGAGAAAGCCTTGTAAAAAAAGGTAAACTAAGGAAAAGCTATTACATAAGTTCTGTATACAACTATTAATGGTTTAGATTTTTTTTTCTGATAAATGATGGGTTTATTCAAAAGGAGGGAAAGGTTCCCTCAGAGAAAGAGTCATACAAGAGCAGACAATAAAAGTAAACATAGGGTAGCAGAAAACAAAAACAGCCTATGGAACAAAAGAGGAATAAATATAACAAAAATCCATTGATTTAAAAGGTGATTATGATTAGTAGAGATGCCCTTAAACTCCTTTAGGGAGGCCACCAATTGCCTTAAAGATCCTTCAACCTTGCTCATAATAGATTCCACTTGAGCACATTTGCCTTTTGAAAATCCTTGAATTTCTTTCATTCCAAGCAGACCAGCAGATTGCCATGGATGATAGAAAAGTATTTAGAGTGGTGCTACCAAGTAAAGAACTAAATCTGTTTGTGCTTTCTTCTATGGAGTTAGTCCACACATGCTCCCAAATGGTGTCATTTCCCAAATGAACCCTGTAGGATTTCCCTAATCAGTTTGCTCGAAATCTTGAATCCTAATCCTAACCTTCATTCCTAGTTTCCTTTCTTTTTAGTAGGTAAAAGATGTTGTTCATTCTAGTTCTATTATTTCAGTATCTATGAGCCTCCATTCACTGCCTTGACTTGGATTGATAGGATCTATCAATATAGAGAGGAACTGAATATCATATTCCAACACACACTCCGGGAAGGCAACATGGAAGCGGATGCATTAGCAAATATAGCTTGTGACAGTGCCAGCTTGATTGTGTTTAGTTTGTATAAATGATCTCCCACGGAATGCATGTTGTCAAAATCTTACAATTTACGATACAATTCACAATTTGAATTGTGAACCCCAAGGGTTTCGATTCAAATCTTATGTCTGAATCTCTTTCTGCAAAAATCTTATGATTTTTGTTTGAATCCTACAATTTGACAAGTTTATAAAAAATAGAAATAATCTTATGATTTACGATACAATTCATTATTCGATTCGATTCAACTTTCCCTACGATTTTCAAAACATTGTCCACAACTTACTACGTTTTGATCTTCTGCAGATTCATTCTATTAGATTGGACTAGTGGCCTTCTTAAAATAGCTAGCAGACCCTCAAGTTGTATGAACCGCTAACCATACTGTATAGATTTTGTTGAGGGGTCAAGTTTCTACATCCCTCCCTCTTAGGTCTTTGATTTTTATTAATAAAATTTACAGTGGCCACCCCTCCACCAGGAGCAAAGTTTGGGGTTGAAAAAAGTTCTATTATTTCAAACTCTTGATTTTCATTTCTTCAATCAGATTTGTAGTTATTCTTGTGTATAATCAATCAGCAGAAAACAATCTTATTCTGGATGGACTGCTAGTGTGGAAGATGAACCTTGTATGATGTTTTCCCCAAACTTTGAGAAGGTTAACCTGGATGGACTGCTGGTGTGGATGGTCAGGACATTGTATGGACACATAAGATTTGAAGAAATTTACAAGACGGGAAAATCAGATAAATGGTGGGCCTGCTTAACCTTCTCAAAAATCATCAGTCAAGCATACATTCAGGTGATCATATAATTTAGAGATGGGAATGGTCTGATACCTTTACAGTGAAATCTAGCAAACCATCTGGCTCCCTTTACCCATGTCCCTTTCCCAATAAACTGACTTGGACCTCAAAAGCCCCTTCTAAGGTGGCCTTTATGATCTGGACATAAACTCTAGATAAATATCTTACTAGAGACAAGGTCATTAAGGTCTTTTTTTCATATCAGTAGCAGTTGCTTTATTAAAATTAAAGGCAAGAACAGAACAGGGAGAGAAGCTCTCTTAACTGTCCCTGAAGAGTACAGTCAAACCAAAAAACCAAAAAACAATTAAAATCGAGCCCAAAACATTACATCTCTATTCACCCCTTGCTTTGCTAGCCCATCAGCTATGGAGTTGGCACTTCTTTTGGTACATACCACTTTAACTTCAATATCCTGTGTTAACCACTTGAACGTTTTTCTTTCATTGCTGTAATTCCAAAGGCCATTCCTCTCATCATTCAGCCATCCCACCACTGACTTGGAGTCACCAAGATTAATTTCCAAATACTCATCTCCTTTGCCCCTTTGGCCCCTCCAAAGACTTTCATTAGTTCAGCCCTTAGAGAGTCACCTTCTCCAATTGGGCCTGAGAATAAAGCTATAAACTTTCCTTCCTCATCTCTAAAAACTCCTTCAATTCCTGAGGGCCCTGGATTTCCAACACTGTTCCATCAAAGTTTAGTTTGATATACCCATTGGTTGGGGGTGTCCAAGAGGGAATTAAGACATTCTTACCAGAGCTGAAGAAGCAATTTCCTTCCAGTTCCTTACAAAATCTTCCATGGGAAAATCCTTAAAATGTTCCAAGGATTTAGCCCAATTAAATACTCTATTGAAGATCACTTCTGTGATAGCTTCTTTAGTTAAGATAGGCATGCCCCTCCCACCCACACGTTGCACATTTTGCAATTTTGATACAAAAACAACTGACCACCTCTTTGGTGCATTGTCCCCTCACTCACCAAGTCTGGACTCATTTCCTTTGATGCCTTAATGTGAGCTGGAAACGCCCAAGTATAACTTTGGGGATGATTGCCAGCTGGCACATTGGTGGGCTGAATAGAAAAGGCAAGAAGGTCTGGTGCTTGATCCCTGCAACAATCCTGTGGACAGTTTGGATGGAAAGAAATGACAAGATCTTTGAAATAAATACTCCCAGTCTAATGAAATCCTAAGGAATACTACTGCTAAGGTTTTTGTCTTGGGCATCTGTCCACAAGGGAATCTTACTATGCCTATAGACGATTCCTTTTCTATTAATCTTCCTTTCCATTGTATCTAGAATGCCTTTTATATACATCAAGGTTTTCAGAGCTGAAGTCTCTAATCAAGTGGAAACTTTGATTCAAGATAATACAAAGAATTTACTAAGTTCCTAATCCAATTTAAGTTTAGCCCTTGAGAACAGATCAAGAGACTTGGAATAGTTTTACTTTTTTAGCAGTCCAAAGAAAATCCCAGTTTACTCAGATGGGTGTTCACATTATTTAGCTAAATGAACGATCTGATGAAGTTATTAGAGACTTGAATGTGATATATTTTCACAAAGAGTACAGTGCTCAAGTGGTCAAGCCAAAAGAAAAAAGAAAGGACATAGTTTCCACAAGTCCACCAATGAAGCTGATAAAAAATAGTCGTCTTACCCCAGAGGGTTGAGTTAAAATATATTAAGTGTAATTGCTTTCGTTCAGTATGCCAACATTATCAACTACAATCCATTTGAATTGGTGAAAGCTTGAACCTCTATACTTCTTAATATCTCGGAAAAAAGATAAGTAGCACTATATAATCAGACAAACCCAAACTCACCCCCCCCCCAAAAAAAAGAAAGAAAAACATACCCACTGCCTGAGCAAAGCGAGGTCTGTCATGAGATGCTAAGCTGGAGCAAGCCAGTCCAAGACGAATAATAAGGCAAGGTCGGAGCTTCGCATCACATCCATGCCAAAAAACCAGATGTGACCAAACCTCAAGTTCTTGAGCAGAAAGTATCCTATAAGTCTCCCTCCAACGGATGGTCTTCTTGATTGATGAAAGCAAGCATGAAAAGTCACCATTGGCAGCAGTGTAGAATCTACAGAGCTCATCCTCATTAATCCTGCATATCATTACATCCTACTTATAACACAATCAAACATTCCAAGAAACCAGGAAAACACTTCTAACTAGTACTGAACTCGAGTAAGAAGAATAACATAATTCATATTTTATAATAAATAACAAAAAGGTAAATAGAAGAAGCAGAAAGAGTTGAGAAAGATGATAACAACCACATCAAGAAGGAAACTTATATTGGTGGGAATCACATGGTAGTATTTATTCTCAATAAGATAGAATTCTCTAACAAAAGTCAAATTTGGATTTGGCTTTTCTTTATCATTAGCAACAATTAAAAGGCTTTGTACATATGAATGGGTATTATTTACAAGAAACCTTCCCAACCAATAAAACTCCATAGAGGCTGATACCTTGCTTTTCAGCATCTTGTGTTTTTTTTTTGAAGATAAAATAGAAACTTTATTAAAAGGAAAAAAGAAGAAAACAAGAAAGGTGACAAGTATCACCTGAAAGAAGAAAAAACTGTAAAACAATCAAAGAAAAACAATACCTCCTACTGACTCGAGCCAAACTCAACCCCAACCAACAGGCTCAAAACTCAAGCACAATAACACCGTTGACCCAAGGAAACCAAGATAACCACTAGCCATAGCCTCTTACACAAATTCCACCCAAAACAGATTAAAACTGAACCCCCAAACCACCCTTCAATCTTGACCACTCCTGAAGAAGACAGCAATAAAACTCCCAACCAACAAAAATCCTTTTTTTTTTTTATAAATGAGTAAGATTTTATTAATCCAACAATTAAGAGTTACAGGCAACCCATGGAAAGGCATGAGGTGCGACCTTTCCTTTAAAACTAGTTACAGAATTACAAGTTCAAAAGAAATTACACAGAAGCCCAAAGTAGCCCAAAAAAACCCTGTTTTGCAAGTGAGTCAGCCATTGAGTTTGCTGATCTGCCTACCCACTGAACTCTGATTGTCATATTCCTTGTTAGCCATTTAACCTTTTTGAGGAGACCTCTAAAGCCCCAGATCACAGAGTCCATCCTGCAACCAACCCACTATCACCTGGAAGTCCCCTTCAATAATCAGATGCTCTATTCCTAGCTGGTTTGCGAGCTGGATTCCTTGCACAGCAGCAAGTAACTCGGCCCTTAAAGAGTCTCCCACACCCGCAGGACCTGGATACAAAGATATAATGCTACCGTCTTTATTTCTCTGCACTCCTCCAATACCTGAAGGTCCAGGGTTACTTCAGCCACTCCCATCAAAGCTCAACTTAATAAACTCTTCCCCAGGTGGCATCCATTCAACCACATATCTGTCCTTCCTGGTAGAAGTATTAGCCATTGCTAAACAGCTTCTGCATAGGTCATCAAAAGAGTATGCATCAAAGAAATTTAGAATTTTCAGCCACTGAATTGCCCTTGTCAAAATACATTCTTTAACTTCCGAAAAGCTCCTTTCTTTTTCACAAAAAATTCTGGTGCTCCTTTCTTCCCAAACAGTCCACAACAAAGCTGCTCTTATGCACTTCCACATAATTCTCCCTCTCTTTGTGTGCCATTCAAAGCTAGACAGACTAAACAGCAAGCTAGTATTAGATGGCAGGTTCCACCTACACTCAAACAACATAAAAATCCAATTCCACAAGGCTGCAGCAAAGGAGCAAGGGATTAGTAAGTGGTGGCGGTCCTCATTCTGAGCTTTACAAAGAACACACCAATTAGGGGATAAGCACCATTTTGGTCTCCTCTTTTGCAGGTTTTAAAAGGTATTGATCTTACCATAATAAACTTCCCAACAAAAAACAACAATCTTTGGGGGAACAAGTCTAGTCCAAAATTCTTTAACTAGGAAGTTCTAGGGTGCAGAAGTGGAGCAGAGGGATTTGAAGAAAGAAGAGCATGTGAAAATGCCTTTCGGGTTAGGGGTCCAAGTTCTTGTGTCAAGTTTGAGGGGATCTAAGCAAATAGACTCAAGTGAAGACAACAGTTTTCAAACACAAGAACTTTCATCATCACGTAACCCTCTTCGGAAACCAAAATCCCAGTTTAAGGCCAAAGAAGAAATTGGGAAGGAAATAAAATTGGAAACCAGCTCTTTCTTATAAAGGGAAAGAGTGTAAAGAGAGGGAAAAATGTTCTTCCCAAAAAAGAACATTGTTTCCAAAATTAACATCATACCTGACCAAATTGAGAAATTTGGGAAGGATTCTATGTATAGCCTTCCAGGGTGTTGTAAGAGTCGCCCATCGAGATACCCCGGCATCATACCAACCAACCAAAATCTTCTACCACCACCAACCTCCATTCAAACTGAATTCAATTATTTGGCTACTCCATAGGCGACTGCCACAACCTCGCTACTTAATAACTTGTTTAGGTTTCTTCACCTTCCTGATAGGCCCCACACCAACTACACTTGCTCGCAATCTAGCAAATACTTCTGAAACCGGAAAAGCTTGATGGCATTTAAACCTTTTAAAATGTTTCACTGCATTAAGGTTCTTCTCAAAGTCCTTAACAACTTTAGCATTATCATTAATCCTTTCCAACTTCAAAACTGCTTCTTTTCACATGTCTTGAATTCCACTCCACCACATCCTTCCCTATCTTCAACTCCACCATTTCCACCATCTTCTAAAAATAGGGTTTTTTTCCATTATCAAAAACAAATCATGAGTTACCATTGCTTATCAGGAAAAGAACAGCTGCTTTAGGTTTGTCAACCTATAAAATCCTTTCTGTGTTTGCTTTTTGACTAGCCTATCTATAAATGTCCAAAATTAATTATAGAATTCGGTAATTTAGTTCTATATCTCTCCAACTTTGTTGTTTAAATTATTTGACCTTAAAACTATTCCTCAAGAAGTTAATTGGCTGATTTATCAGTTCATTTTCTCTCCCACTACTTGTTTTAGATATCACTGTGGATTGACAATCCTTTCTTCCATCCATTGTTTCGCTTAGAATATCAATTCCAAGCAGTAATTAGTTATATGTGGGAAGTATGACAAAAATATTATAAGTTGTGACTTTATAAGTACACCCTTGAATAGAATGCAATAAAAGCATGGACTTTATGAGTACACCCTTGAATAGAATGCAATAAAAGCATGGACTTTAAAACACTGCCAACAACATCTCCCTAACCATTTTCTCACACTTTCTTCCTGATGATTTCTTTTCACAATCAGATGGAACATTTTTTTTCAAGAAAAGGTAAAGTAAAAAGGGCATCCCAGTGCATGAGGCTCCTGCCAATGTGTGGTCTGGAGAGGGAGAGATGTACGCAGCCTTACCCCAACACATACAGGAAGGTTGTTTCCAAGATTTGAACCCTGGTCACCCAGGTTGCAATGGAGCAACCCAACTGTTGCACCAAGGTAAAGTAACTATTCCTTAAAAGCGGTTCCTACATCCAAGGTCAACATATCCTACAAGCATCCCAAGCCATTCTTCCCCATAATTAACCCTAGGAATTCCACCTCTTTTGTCATGTGCCATTATTTAGGAATCAACATCAAGAGGTATGGAAAGCACCAATGTGACCACCTCGAATGTAGCTAAGCATCAATACCAAATAGAAAGTGGGAAAAACCAATCCAATCCTGATTCATCATCCCAAAAGGACACATAGCTGCTTGTACCAGTCCCAAAAGGACATATAGCTGTGCAAACTCAATAGTGGTAATTCTATCTAGACGGCAATGAGCAACTTGTACCAGTCTTACTTTCCACTTTTGGATTGTTTTTGGTAATGAATAAGCAAAGTATTCTTCTGACAACCAAAGAAAAGGGCAGGGTGATGTGGAGAGCAATAAGAGCAGCTATTGTTTGGGCAGTGGGAAGAGAGGAATAGCAGGATCTTTCAAGGGCAAGAAAAATAAAAGGATGAATTGATAGAAGGAATAACCATCAAGGTCATGCATTGGATGAAAACATTGGATCTGTTCAATGCTTTTTCAGTAGATGACTTGATTAAAGGCTGGAGTGCAGTAGCGGGCTCCTCTTCCTCATCTCCTACTATTCATGAAAGCTGGTCCCCTCCTTTACAGAATAGGGTAAAACTGAATTTTGATGGCAGCTCTGTAGGTAACCATGGTCCCTCAGGAGTTGGGGGTGCTTTTAGAGATGTGGAAGGAAGAATCTGGCTTTATTCTCTGGATTAATTGGGAGAGGTGACTCACTTGGTGGCAGAAGTAATGGCACTACTGCAAGGGCTCAGATTGGCTAAACAGTTGGGTTTTCAGCAGTTGGAAGTGGAGGGACAACCAAAGTTGGTAAACGGTAATAGGCTGGGTGCAAACAAATAGCTTAGGCACTTGGTCCCTCAGACAATCTGTAAGGGAAATTTTGAACCTAACAAGGGAGCTTAGAGTACAGTTTAAATGGACTAGAAAGTCAGCAAACACCTTGGCCGATGCTTTAGCAAAGCAAGGGGTTACTCAGGAAACTCTATTTTGGGCATGTTTGCAAGACTGCTGTGAATTGAGGGATGGAAGGTGATAGTAGTACTAATTTTATTTAAAGTTATAAAAAATGAATAAATAAAGTAAATTTATTGATCAAAGAAAAGAAAGATTACGGTTTTCCACCAAAGAAAAAATAGGTTTTGTGGTGTGATGGAGAATCGAGAGACGGAGAACTTTGTTCAGGCGACAAAATGGAAAAGAGTATTTCAGCTGGAGAAGAAGAAGATCCTCATGGAGGAGATAACAAATAGGGGGAAGAAGCATCTGAAAATAAGAGAAGACTAACGAGCAACGATCCTAATGGACTCAGAAGTGGTCGACTGGTTTCAAGGTTTTGTAGATGGTTTACTACTTGCAGAAAGAATACAAGGATGGAGAAATGAAATGACAAACAAGGGAAATAGATTTACAGTAGAAAATAGAAGAAACAGAAATGGAGGTTTTATTGTATTAACAGAGTTCTATGGCAAAGGGAGGAAACAATTAGTATGCCTACCGGAGGGACAAGCTAAACAGGGGTGGAAGAAGGTCGCAGGTGCTCTTGAGGAGTTCAAC